AAGTTAATTAGAATATATCTTTAATATATAACTTATAACAATTTTATTAGATATTAATACAGTGATAGCTTATCTAACCTTTAAATACTAGCTATTATTGTCTTGATAAAGTACATAAATGAATATTATATCCTTTTATATAGCAATTTGAACAAGTATATATATGTGATTAATTTAAGTTTTCATTGATAGCACTTAATAGTTTTTTTGCTTTTTGTTCTAATACATTCTTTTGTTTTTTACTTGGTTGGCCTTTAACTGAAATGATTTTTGAATTAATAACCTGAATATTATTTTCTTGTTCTTTAACTAGCATACTACAAATACTATTTTCTTGTTCTTGAGCTGGTGTACTACAGATATTATTTTCTTGTTTTTGGTTTAATACAGTATCATTTAAATTTAAAGCTATAGTATTTATTAACTTCTTTTTTTGTTATATACATTGATAACATCGTTTATTTACTTCTTCTTCAGTTTCTGCTTCCATCACCAATATAAGAACAGTTTGTAATAATCTATAGCTTTTACTATAATATATGTGATCTTGAATAAACTTTTTATTAAGCTTTTTAGATCCTGAAGCTTTATATATAAAGATAAGTTGTTCCAATCAGTTGGTTAATATAGTTTGATTAAGTTGGCTTGGTGAATTAGGCCTATTAAGAGCATTATTATGTGATTGAATTGCTGAAATATTATTGAATATATCTTTTAGTTTGTTAAAATAAACATCTTTATACCATTGCTATATTATTAATAGTATATAAAAAATAGCTATATCTAATTCTATAAGAACAGCAAAGTAATGCCTGCATACAATTCCATTGCTAACTGGCCAGATACATGTATATAAAAATGAACTATCCTTAAGTAAAATAATATAATACATATTTCTAGAACCCACAATTCTAACAACATGCCAAGCTTTTTGAATTTTATAATATGATACATTACTCAAAATAAAGTTAATATGCATTTGTTGTGCATCATAATTGTCTTCAATACATCCATCAATAAGTTCAGATTCATCATTAGTGCAATGTTTTTGTAAAATATTAAATAAATAATATTGATACCAAAGCATTTGTTGAATTTGTTGCTTTATTTCAGCAATTATATGAGATGTAAGATATTTTTCACATACTGCAATGATCTCTAAAAATAATGTTTTATTTATAGACTGATCATTATGGTTAAAGCTTACAGTTTTCTAAGAACAGCTGTATTTATTTTTTTTATCAAGACACTCCTAAATTATATTATATAATTTAATTAAAGATGATGATTGATTAATGCTAGTCTTAATAAAATTATTACAACATTCTACATGTTGTGTGCTTTGAATACCAGCATTAAAAATTTAAGTTGTGAACAGTGGGCCCAACTTTGCTTTGATTGGTAAAGTTTATATAAATAACATTTCATAGCTGGATAAGCTTCAATCAATTATTTATATTGGCATTCAAATAAAGTTTCCTGTAATACATTTTGTATAGCATAAAAACTACTTATAAACTGATCAAAATAATTATTATATTTTGATCAGGCCTTTTTTTTGACATCATTTCTAAGATGGAATACACAAAGATGGTGATAAGCTGTTACAAAAGTTTTAGAAATTGCTGCAGCTATTGCAGGATCAGAATCAAAAAAAATAATATCTGATTTATAAGTTGAATTTTCTTTTTTAAGGCATATAAGGAGCCAAGTAAAAGAGTCCATAGATTCATCTGACAATAGTGCCTGGACAACCAATCTACTTTTAGTATTATTATCAACTACAATTACCAAGGCCAATGGTCATTGGTATCTGTTAGTCTTGCAAGTTGTATCCAATAAACAAACATCACTATATCTTGATGACAATTGCACTTGTTTATCAGATTGCCAAAAAATTCTTTTAAGTTTACTATCTATATCACCAATTACAAGTTTAATCACACAATCAGAGTTCTTTATTTTTTGACATAAAAGGTAATTTAATAAATTAGCAGCATCATTCTTAAGTCCTTTAGATGTATCTTTTAATTGACTTATTATATTATAGATACTTTGTGGTTTAATAGGATAATCAGGATATTTATTTTCAAGTAAATTAATTATCCTACTAGGTTGAATATGATATTGATGATACAATTTAACTTTTTTAGCATTTTATCAGTTAATCGACAATATCTTGGTGCATTATTTTTAATATTATCATTTATAGAATGATTATGAATTGAATTATCATCAAATAATGAACAAAGAATTGTTAATACTTTGCTACCTATTGAAAAAATACAATGCCATTTACAATTCACAACAGTAGCATTATAATTATGTTGATTATCAGAATCGATTGTTTTTTTATATTTCCATTGTTCAGATAAGTAACACATCCAAGTAATGTTCTATACTGTCTTATCCTCATATGTACATGTACATCTCTTTCTAATAGCAAAACTACACTCTATTGCATACTGATTAAATTTTCTTCCAATTTCTTTGAAAGTATTAAAATGATTATTAAACTTTATATAAAAAGAATATTTATGCTAACTATTAACATTATCATTACTATCATTTTGACTACTTGAATCTGATAACTCAAGTAAAGTAGAATGTTCAATTTGGAGGTAATTATCTTGTTGGTTAAAGGTAGGTTTAGAAAAGATTGGTGCAGTTTGTAAATCAATAGCAGAATTTTGTAAATGTGATTGAGAGAATTCTAAAAAATAAAAACTCAAATTTGATAGAAATAATTCATTGTTATAATAATAAGAAACCTGTAGTAAATTGTAAATTTTAATTGAGGTGTTCTTTGGTAATTAAAAAAATAAGCTAATATGATTCTTCAAAATACTGATTATAAGTAACAAAGTCAATCTGAATTGGCTTTGTTACTTATAATCAGTATCTTGAAGAATCATATTAACTAATGCATATCTGTTTTTAAAACTAAATATAATTATTTAATAAACCTAAGGCATGCTTGAATTAATATCCAAAGAAGTCAAAATAGCATTTTCATAAAGAACCTCTGGTAATGTTTTTGCTTCCTCTGAACCAAGTTTATCTGTTTCAACACTTTTAAACAAATTAGTATAGTTTTTATAAAAACCTAGTAATTTATTATATTCATTAAAGGAATAGCATACCTTAAATAAAATTAGATTAGTTATACAATATTGGTTATTTTTGTCTAAAAGCCAACTAACCTGAAATGGGCTTATATTAAAGTTTAAAGAAGTTAAAGCAATATTTTTATAGAAAGCCTCTGATAATACTGTTTCTTTAGCTAAACCAAGTTCATTATTTTAACTAGCTAGTATGCTGATAATGATCTTCTTCCTACTAAACCAGGTTCAGCATTTATAAAGAGCTGGTAAGTCTTAAATAGGATTTGATTAGACATAGCTATACAATAGCATTAACATGTTGAACAAATTTCATCTAACCCTTTAACAAACCTGTAGTGGTCTTAAAACAGTATTTTCAGAAGAATCAAATGGCAAAAAGAGCTTTGAACAGCAATAAATTAGTACTAAACCCTTATACAAAACTTTACATAGCCATATTCTAATAATGTTAAAATGCACCTTATGTTTATCAAAAGTCATAATGATAATAAAAATAAAAATTCTTGTAGCTTCATAGAATAATGTAATTGACATTACATAGCAATGAAATTAGATAGTTAATTTTAATTATTGTTATATTTTTTAAAATTAGTAGTTATAATTAATCATCTATTATAATGGTTAATTATAACTACTGGTGCAAGTTATAATTATTCTAATATTATTATAAATAAATAAATTAAGCATTTATTTTTTTATTACAAGAATTTATTAAAAATATTAGTCATTTTTTTAAAGTTATTTTAATTAATATAACATATAAAATTTAATATTTACAAATTATTTTGTTTGTATTAGTAATTTTAAAAACAATTATTTATATATTTTTAATATTACTATTATTAGATTTTTTAAAAATTTAAAAAATTATATATAAAAATTATTAAATATTTTGTTTTACTTATTTTTTCTAATATATTTTCTTTTATATTTATTATAAACAATAATTTTTACTTATTGTTATTTTTAGAAAATTATTTTCTAAATCTGAACATCTTTAATATACTTATTAGTAATCTTATTAATTGATAATCTGGCTATGATTAGCACTATTTTGAATAAGTAATTTGGGACAAAAATTTACCAATTTACTATGATAACATCTAAAGTACATAAAAGTCATAAGTTTGAAAAGTCCCCACAAATAAATAGTTTTCGTATAATATATATACTTTTCGAAAAAAATTCGCATTACTTTGACAAAAAAAAGACTATTACTATGCACGAACATCAGATTCCAACAACTTTATTATATATAAATGGATCTCAATATATGACACCCAGCATATGAAGTAAGTAACATAAAAATTTATTTTGATGTTCCAGGAGTTTCAGACCTCTCTAAAGAAAGTCTTGCCATATTTTGCTTCCACTTACAACTAAACATTGCAATCCAATTGTTAATAATAAATACTTTCAGAATATCATTTTGGTCAAATTCACCACATTGAGTCCGTTTTAATAATTCATTATACATCTCTTCACCCGATATTTTGTTTTTATTATCTACTGTTCCTGTATGAAACATATTTTCTAATAAGTTTTTGATTTGTTTAGTTATTCATTTCCAGGATTCTTTCTGATTATTTTTTTCATTTTCAGCTAAGGCCCAATCTGATGAATACCTATTATGGCTAAATTGGAAGCAAATATATGGTTTATTCATTATTTAAAGCATCCATTTAATATTATACTACAGGTATTAATGTTATGCTTGAAGTTGTAACTTCAAGCTCTTGAAGTTGCACTGACTGAAATTAGCCACTTCTTGTGTATATTAGTTAGTAATTTTAGGTAGAGTTAACTTCAGGCACTTGAAGTTACAACTTCAAGCAGATGCTAATTTCAAGCATGAGATTATTATAAATATTATTTTTTTGATATTGAGTGAATATTTGTTTATGTTAGATCAATCGGATCTTGAGTAGGTGTTTCCTAGAACTAATATTTATTAAAATTTGTCATTAAAATTTGCCTTTTAACTAATGATTACAGATTTATTGAAACTACAATTTTTGTTAAGGTAATTTCTAAAATTTAATTTTTTTTAACACAAATAATTATTTACGACCAACTTTATATTATTAGCTTTTGAAAGGTTTTATATAAATACTGCCTATGTTGTTTTCATTAATCAAAATTTGACAAAATTTTATTATAGCATATTTGTTATCCAATTTTAGTTATCAAATTATATATTAATCAATCGATGCTAAGCTCTAAAAAATTTTCAGATCTTTAATCTATATTGATGATATGTCTAACCTGTCTTCTCACCATCTAACCTATTTTGTCACGCCTTATTAGACAGAAATTTATATACAGTAATGCAGTGTTGTACATTTTTAATGTCTGAACTATATTTAGCGGACTCGGACATTTTTGGACATTGTCCGATGTCTGTATCCGAATTATGTCCAAGCAGATAGATTGTCACCGGACATGGTCTAAGTAATATTTGTCGGACACGAACATATTACGGACACCGACATTGTTCGATGTCTGTGAATGTTACGACAAAATTCCAAAAATTTCCAGATGATGAAATCTACTCTTTTTTAGCAATAATTATGTCAAGAAATTGCCTTAATTCGATTACAATAGGATTTGTGCACTGCAACTATGGATGAATCATATTGTGAAGGTTATATAATGAGGGTTTTAAAGTTATGACACATTTCAAAGTTAAATAGGATTTTTTCAATAGTATTTTTACTATGTTGAATTATAAATTGGAAAAATAAAATAAGATTCGCTGGTTTTAACTTTGAAACCTCCTAATATATGTATTTTATTAAATGCTAATATCAAATAAAAATAAAAAAACAATCCTCAAATAAACTTTACAATTTTTAGTTTATTGTTCTATGGTTTATCAGTTTATCTTTTGTTAGTTTTCTCAATTTAGTCTAAGCTCCAAAAAAAATATAAACCTATATGTTGCTATAATGAGTATTGTCGGCATCTCTACTCTGAATGCTCCATTATTGAAACAATGGATTATGATAGTTGATTGTACATATATATTTGAGTTCTGCAAGTGCCGGGCATAATGCCATTAAAACATAGTGCTCGGCTACCCACACTATGATTTAACGGCGCTATGCCCGACACTTGCAGAACCCTAGTATATATTAAATAGTAGTCAGCGTTTTTATCCTTTTACATATTAATGTTAACAATGTACCTCTTCATTAATATGTTAGATTTCATATGCTGCTATTATTTTGTGGCTAATTTGGCTGTGCATTAATGGACGTGTAAATATGTAATAATAGATATTTCTTAAAGTCAGTTTATATTTGCGCAAGTCAATCAAGAATGTCTGTTCATATAATCGCTTCAAGGAAGTTACCCATGCTATAAAGTGATTAAATGGAATATCTTGTGTTAATTAGTATTTAAAGCATCAGAATACCTAAATTTGTAATTAAAGATAGAGAATAATGACTCAAAGGGGAATGCGGCTTTTGCATTCTGTATTTTCTTTGTCTACAACTTTAGTATTGTTCTCTCATATTGAGAATGAGTTTTTTAGAATAAAAAAAAGTTAGCTCACATTCATTAATAGGCAAGCCGAATATAATATAATAAATGTAAGCTTTACCTGGAGAATCGTATATATATTTGACATTAAAATTTTCATGTACATTAAACTTCGTTCAAAATGCCATTATCAATCTTATTGGAAAGACATATTATTAAATCTAATGAGAAACTTAGTAAAAGTAACGTTAAAGTTTTTTGTAAAGCATGTATTGATGTATTGGGTGAAGAAGCAGGCAAAGGCAATAGTTTTCCTAACAAAATGGATAGAATCATTCAGCACCTAAAAAAATGTGTACATTTTGTGAAGAAAACGACACCTGAAGAAAGAGATGAAATATTTGCTCTGACTAATAATAATAAAGAGATTTTAAATGAAAAAAGACCAGGTAAAAAAAGGATACTTTATTTTTGATTTATTTATAGACTAATATATAGTTTTTTTTAGCTTCTCCTAGTTTTTCTTACGATATTGTGTCCAATTCCTTCAAAGCTTCTTCAACACGAAAAGTTATAGTTCGATCCTCTTCCCATGGGCCTCTTGATAATTATGCAGTTCGACCATTGTCACAACAAGACAAAGAAAGATTTGAGATTCTTTTATTAAGATTAACAGTGTCCTGCGGGTGGGCTCTTCATTGGGTAAACAATCCTGAAGCCAAAGAATTGTTTCAATTTTTGAATCCTTGTATTAAACTTCCTGATCGTCGACTTCTTGGTAGGAAAATTTTAAAGGAAGTGGTATCTGAAAAAGATAAAGCCATATATGATGAGCTTCACCAAGACTTATTCGGTATTACCTTGACATTTGACAGATGGACAAATGTTAAAAATAAGCAATTGCTAGGCATAATAGTTATTACTTCAGGTGGCAAACCACATGCGTAGAAAGTAACTGATATTAGCTTGGAAAGAGAATCACATATTGAAATGATGGAAAAGACAAAAAAAATGATAAATGAGTTACAAAATATGAAAATAAAGGTTTCTGCAGTTGTCACTGACAGTGCTGGGCCTTATGCAGTGGCAAGGTATGTTCTATTTTTAAATATTTTTTTAGGTATTCTTAAGCTTAATATATCAGTAGTAAATTTTAATTATATAGAGATGCTTAGAATACTTTAATTCTATAAAATTAATTTAATATTAGGCGAAGATTAAGGCTTTCTGAAAGAAATATCATTTTTTTACCTTGTTTTGTGCACCAGCTTAACTTAAGTGTCGGCGAGATTTTTAAAGAATCAACAGAATTTAAGATAACTATGGACCAAGCAATTCGGCTAGCCACTTATTTTAAGAATGCCAACAATAAATATTTTATTGCCAAGTTACATGATCAACAAAATTAACCTACAAAAAATATTATGCTATAGCAGTTCTAGGGGAAACTCGATGGAACAGTTATTACACTGTAGTAACCACTCTTTTGCGAAGTCAACAAGCATTAAAGGTGTTTAAATTTTTTTTTTAATCATAAAATTTTATATATATTCTTAGATTCGTGTGCTTAATCACCAACCACCACTTATCCAAACTCGACGGCGAACTGGAGAAAATCCAACTCTTAAGCGTGATATCTTTTAAATTATTGACACAGGCACATTTTGGACAAATTTGAAAACGATTGCGGAAATTCTGTATCCTTACTGTAAAATTTTAAATATTTTACAATGTGATAATGCAAGGTTAATTTATGTTATTCATGGCTTTGCATATCTAGTTCAACTATGGAATAATTATACTAACCGTCAATTAGCTGAAAAAATTTTAACTTGTCTAGAAAGAAGGTGGAGCAGCTGGGAACAACCTTTATTAATTTTATCATGTTTGCTGCATCCAAAATATCGTGACCACTATTTTAGGAATAAATTAACTGTCAATTATGCTTTATTAGGCAAATATCTAGTTTACTACTATAAAGCTTAGACCGGAAACCCCTCAACTTGTATTTTGCGTGAGTTTAGTGATTTTTCAATGAAAATCTACCCATTTAATGATAATTCATATGATCACTTTAATAATATTTGGAGGTATTGGAGCTTTATGGAAGCTTCAACAACTGAATTAGGTGTAGTGGCTTGCAAATTATATGGGGTTTGTGTAAATGCAGCTGCAGTCGAACGTCTTTGGAGCTGCATGAGCTTTTTGCAGACAGATCGGAGAAGTCAACTAGCAGTAATAATTTGCTTTTTTTGATTTTTTTTTTTTCATTTTCATGACAATCAATTTTTTATACCAACCTAATTCTAGAATTAAGGTTAGGGTCGAGAAAATAATATAGAGCCGCTTTATTGTTTTTCTAATTTAATCTTATATTCTAGTCTCCAAAAGCCTTTGACATGTCTAAATTAAGAGCTGAGATTACATGGAGTCATTGGAAAGAATCAAATTCTGTTGAATTACTTGCACCAAGTTTTCAAGAAAATATACAAAACCAACAAGAGGTTACCAATGAAAAAAATACTGAGCCTTCTAATAAAACTGAACCCGAAACTAAATCAAGACTTGAACCTGAACCTGAAGAAACTGAGAATGAAGACAATACTACAAATGAAAGCTTTAATGATGAAGAGATAGCAGATTCAAATTCTTTGAAGGAAGAATTTGGTCAATTTTTAAATGTATGGGTGGAAATATCAGCAAATGAAACTAAAGAATTAGCTAATATAGATGATGATGATGATGATTTATTTTCTTTATCAGTTGGTGATACTGTTCATCCAGTGGTCGATTCTAATGCCAAATGGGATCTAATTACACTTTTTAATGAATTACTATTACTGTAATTCTTTTTTTCAATTTTAAATTTTAATAATGATAAATAAAGGAATAAAGTTGGGATATTAAAGTTTTATAGGCTCGAGCCTTAATTATAATCTTAAATGCTAGGATTGTTTTAAACTTTAGAATACTTTGAGATCGAATCTTGATTTTTTACTATATATTGGCATCTATTAAAACTTGAAAATAAATCACATAGTTTCTAATTCGAGATTTATTATATTTATGCCGATTTTAGGAACATAATTCTTGTTAGTCTGATACATGTTTAACTTATATATCAGATATGTTACGCATCTTAATTGATTTCATTTTTCAATTTTTACTAATTGAAAAATGATTCGGGAATTTAATTCAGATTATGAGACTTAATATAAAAGACTATTTATAATATAATTATATGCTTATTGATTGACATTAATAATGATAATAAGTTTAAGTAGTTCTCTAGTATCGCTTCATTTATTATTCATGAGCTAATCCTTTATTATACTTGGATCAATCTTTTTATTCGAAACGCTTGAATCGTCCTTTTGTTTTTTGTTCTTTATATTTGAATCGATGTATTACATATTTTTTCTATTTATAACATATATAAGTAACTCGATAAGCAAAGTTATGCTAAATATTCATTGAGTAGTAATGATTTAGAAACCAACTCAAATGTTAAACTATTATGAATGACGTTGGAAGCAAAAATTCAAGTTTTCACTGTGGTGAACCGATCGTATTTGTGATCAAATTATGTAATATTAGAAGTTTTGGAGTACATACGTAAGTTCTTCACAGTGCTGCAGTGAAAACTTTGTGCATGATATTATATTTATTTCGGTAAATTATTTAAACTGATTTTGGTGATTTGTACCATTTTTTTAATGTTAATAGTCTAATTCAAACTAGCTTGAGCAATATACTGTTCAGCGGACATGATTGGCTGGTCCGGTCCGAATCCGAGTCCGATTCAGTCCAGTCTGAGTCCGGTCTGAGTGACAACACTGCAGTGATGCATTCTAACCTAATTAGCATGGTCAAAAGTTAGTATTACATGCAAGTAGTCAAAGTTTTCTATTTTATAAATGCATCATAATACTTAGGTTTAGAGTAAATAAGAAATAATTTTTTTAGTTAAATTATACTGACAAGTGTAAATCTTTTAGCTTTAGATTTTAGGAATTCTTGATATCATAATAAATTTCAAAGGTATTTCAGCAAACTAAAATACCTTCAGTAGGCAATCTCAGCTAACAAATCTTACTATTATGTTTTCTAAGTTTTCCTAACATTTAGTATTTGATTTATTTATTATATTTTGATCTGTTAAATAATGAATAAATAATTAAATTTAGATTAACAAAAATTGATATTATTAGATAATAAAATGTATACTTTGAATATGCAGTATTGGCATGATCCAAGACTTAGGAGGTACTGTATGTCTTGATAACATTGGTTCTGGCTTTTTAAAAATATGATCTTTTGTAATTTTTGTAATTTGTTCAGATGTATATTTTTTCCATGATCCTAATCATGATAACAACCTAGCCAAAATATAGCCAGCTTCCTCTTTTTCATCTGGCCAAGCCCATTCATGCCAGTTAGAAATTCTATGCATCGTTCCCAATTTGCAATTTGCTTTGTTTGGCTTGATTAATTAATACTTATTACTTTTTTAAACTAGAAAAAGTGAAATATACAATCAAATATACAAACCTTCACGATTGGGTATGATATTTGCATTATGAGTTTCTGTCAGATCCTTTATTGCATCTTGTATTTCCTCACCTAATTCAATATCATGTCCCATTTTTACCTACCATTTATAGCATGTGTTAACTAAGTAAATAGCAATAATAGCTTATTAGAATTACTAATTACAAAAATAAGTTTATTGTTGCAAATTATAAGAAAATTAGTTCAAAATGAAATTTAAACTTTTGTTTGAATCTTCAAACTCATGCATACTCTTGCTAATAACTCTAACTTAAAGGTTAAAATTCCATTTTGATCTAATTTTATTTTAATCTGTTATATTTAGATACTTGGACATAATGTGAATCAATTGCCATTTTCACTTCACCTGCCTCAAGAAAAATCCATTTGTGTACTATAACTCCATACCATTCTTTCCAATGAGCTATTATTATCATTAATTCTGTATTGTGATAATGTGGTCCATTATCAGAAAAAATACTAATACATTTTGGTTTTATTTTGATTGTTTCTATTACTCCATTAAGTGAAGATGCAGTGAACCAGACATCTTGTTTACTATCACCACTTCAATGATCAAATGCGTGGATATTAATTTTACCAGTATCAGAATCCTTCATATACATTAAGACTGAATGGAGTGACTACTTACATTTACCAAAAAACTCAGTCTTTGTTTCTCAAGATTTTTGACATAAAATTTTCATTTTATAGTCAACGATTATTAATGTGCCATCTGAACTAAGTTGTGCAAGATCAGCATTTAGTTGTGCATTAAGATATGTTTTCCATGCATAATGGGCTTGAAAATATATAAGTTTAGTCTGATACTCATTTAAAATCTCATGAATCTCTGCAGGAGTATTAGCCTTTGTTTCATCAAAAAAAATAAACGATGTTTCACAATTTTCACATATCTCTGAATGAACTAGATTACAATCACCAAATGCATGCTATAAACAATGACTTATACAAGGATCATGAACAGCATGACCTAACAGATTAACAGTAAGTTTCATGGCATAATCTCTTCGTAAATATCATCTCAAAGTTTGTGTTTGCATACTTAATTTATTCTATATTTAATAATTAGAAACACAATTAATATATGTTATAAATATATATATCTTCAATATGTATTGTTTTCAAGTTGATCATGAAGAATCTTTATGATTATCATATTATTATATTTCTATTAGAAATATAATAATAATATGATAATCATGAAGAATTTTTATGACTAATAACAAAAAATAATTTTTTTTTTAGGTTTGCACTTGCTACACAAAATGTCTAATTGATTGAAGTTATCCTATTCTATCTTTTAAAATACCAGCTGACCTGAATAGTACTATGCAGTCAAGATATATATATGACTTATAAGAGTATTTGGTATGTATTTTCAAAAATACTGGTATTGTAATCAAATAATCGAGTATGCAATAAAACTATACTCAGAGTATATGTAATATATATACTATAAGCATGGTTTACTATGTACTCAACCAAATAATACTTTGTACTATGAAACATGTATCATCATATGATATGAAGTATTATATAAGCAAAAAGTATATTGCAAACTGGTTATATTCATCCAAGATAAGTGATTTCTTCCTATCACAATATTCTATATATATATAATATATATGTATATATTTTACTTATGTACCTGAAGATTATTATTATTAATGTGTAACTTTAAAAGCTTTTCGATTTCTTCAAACACCTCATATCCAAGTTCATTGCAAGTTGAATATATTTCACTAAGATTATCCTTATACACATATCGGCCACCTTGTAATCGAGTTATAAATGATGTATGTTGCATTCCATTTGGGTATTTTTCATGAAATTTTCCCATAAGGCTTTTTTATGGTTTTAAGATATAGAATTGGTAATCCAGTTGATGTTTCAGTTCTATATAATGACATATTTATATTTTCTTTGTCGGCAAAAAAGAGTTCAAATTAATTTAGTTGTTTTTCTGTTAATTTTATATGATGAATAATTGGTTTTACAAGAGGGAGTGCACCATGACTATAAGACTTTGCATATTTACGAGCTTCAGAGATTGTATGATTACCAACCTTTTAATTTTAAATAATTAATTTTATAATTTTACATATATGATTTAATTTACAAAAAAAGCTTACACCTAAATTTTCTTCTAATTCATTATAGATAAAATCTTCAGCAATTATTGATAAAATACATTGTTTTCCATCCAAAGTTTTTTTGTTATTATTTAAGGCATGTGAAAAAGAGTTCCAGAAGGTATGTGTTACATTTGGCATATAAATAGGTACACTTATTAGAAATCCCAATTCATAGAATTGTTTAAGTATTGCAAAATCATGGTCTGGCAAATTAGACTTTGTTCAGAATTGATACTGGTTTAATAAAATGAAAATAAGGTTTATATTATAAATTTTCATAAGTATTACATAGGTAAAACTTTTATTATATACCTTTGATTCTGTGTAAGACCAAGGTGTTATGTCATGAGCATCAGCAGCACGAAACATTGATCGCCATGCATTAAGTTCTCGATTAGTAAACTGATAATCTTTAGGATATAGTGAAATAAGCGCAGAATTTAGCTCAATAATACTACTTTCCTGTGCTAGCCAACTAATAAAAAGATTATGCTAGCTAATATTAGAAAGTGTTCTTCGTTTCACATGATAATCATAAAGAGTTTTGATAAGCGAAAAATCCTGCCATTGATTTGGCACACAAGTGGGAACTCGATGTTGCTTTATTAATTGTTGAGTAATGGCATAGTCAAGACCAAAAAGTTGAATACCAATATATTTGCTAATACTAAAATGCTCCCAAACATCATTCAGGAATGCCTTCTCAACCACCTGCTTTAATTGTGAGTTTTGATAAACTTCAATCTTATATATATTATCCTCTATAGATGAAATATATAAATCTTGTTTTTTACCATACATATGAATTAATGATAATTGATAACCTGAACCACCTTATGCCAATCTTCCCATGAAGAAGACCCGATCCCAAAAACAAAAATTTTAATTTGATCCAAATTAAAAAAAAAAGGAAAGAAAAAAACATCAACTAATAATTGTGAAACAATATTATGATCTGTCCAGCCTATAATAAGTGGGCCCGAATAATAGATTTTGGTATTAAAAATACTAGTATAAATTGAAGAAATAGTGGTACTAAGATTATGAACTGGAGTTTTAGTATAAAAAATATCACTTTGACAAGTATAACTAGGCAAATAGGGATTGTTAGAATGGCCAACTACTATAATAATAATAAACTCATAATCGTTAAATATAACTTTAGTTTTTTGTTCAATACAAATAGGAAAATATGATAAGTTATCAAAAACCTTATTTTTTCACCAATAACGAGAATACAGCCCATAATGTAAAGTCTCATCCAAAACACCTATTTCTAATAGAGTAACTTGAACTTGGTGTATTCTTTTTGCCATTTGGTAGGTAAGCTTCAGATTCCAGCACTATAATAGATTTTATTATATTGATTATCCCCAATTTTTATAATGATTTGCATGTGATTAGTGTTAATCATAACCAAATTAGCAATTAAGTATAATACACTAATCTGATATATTTAAATTAAATATAATGGTTTAAATTTTTATATATTAACTTGCAATTTAATAAATATATTTAATTTTTATATATTTATATAATGTATTTATAAAAAAAATTTGATAACTTATTTTGCAAATTACTTATACTAAAGTTTACTAAAAAAATTTAACTATTTCTAATTGTTTTATTAAATTAAGCTTATTTATACTTTTAAGCAAAGTTGTTCAGCAAACTTTTTACTTTTAGTTAGCTAGTTTAAAACTCTAATAATATCTGAATATTAAGAAAAACTACAAAAACTAAATTTATTTTTTTTATTTTATATAATATTATAGTAGAAACTTTAAAATACAATAAGAAATTTAATTACAAAAGTAAATTCCTAAAATAAAAATTTCTAAACTACATTTGTATTGCTAAAAAAATAAACATCCAATGTAACATTACACCTTCTATTTCCTAATAAGTGCTATAGATAATTGTTTCAAATTATTTTTTAGTTAGAATAGGTTGGAAGAAACCTTAAAACTAAATTTTAGTTTTTACTTATTGCTTAAAATTTTACTAATTATATACATTTTGTTTATTATAAATTATTTATTTAATTTATTAAGACAAATAATTTAATATATATTTTATTTTAAAAAACTAAAAATTACTAAGTTATTACTAAACCAAAACTTAAAACCTGTTTTTGTAGATTTTTTTAAAGATACTTTTAAGAAAATTTGCAAAAGTATTTAAAAATTTATTTTTCTAGTATCTATTAAAATTTTTTAACTAACTATTAATTTTTTCTAATAATTCTATACTTTTTAGATGTTTTCTAATTAAGCTAAAAATAACAAAATAAAAAAATTTTTAAAAAACCCAATTTTTTTTAGTTTCAAGAGTGAGCTTGCCTGTGTATTTTTTTATTATTGGTAATATAAGAATATATATTATATACAAGGTATATCAATGAAAGTACAACTAGTAATATATAACTTTAGTCATTATTTAATTAAGGATTCCATTCATAAGTTATCTACTAGATGTTATACCTGAGACCTGACTATGAGTCTCTATTTAAACTTTTTGATTTTTAATACTTATTGCATATATATATACAATATATATCATTATTACTATAATAGAACAGGTTAGGTCTATCTAATTACTATTTATATCTAAATACTATCTCATTGAATGTTACTAAGTATTTATAATTCTTTAAAATTACTTTTGATGCAAACTTACTAAGTATGGTACTAAGATTATCCTATAGATTTTATACATTTTAGCATATTTTGTATTTACTAAATCAGTTTGATATTAGTGGTATTTGAATTTTAGTAAGTCTATTCTTTTTTATAGTTTCTTTTTATGTTCATTATATTATCTACTAGTATGTCTTCTCACTATTTCTAATATATTTACTGTTTCTTTTATATCAAGAACCAATTTTTTATATCAGAAAACTTCTTTCTAAGAACTTCCTTATATACTAATCTACTATTTATATTAACTTAAACTACAAGACTTTGTGTATATTTATATGCTTCTATAGATTACAAAGTTTTTGCCTCTAGCTGAAGTTAAACTATTGATCTTGTCTATAAAAAAAGAGGCACCTAGACTACTAAACTACAGAACTCTATTCCAAAAAACCTAATTTTAATTATATTTAATATATTTAAACTTAGTTATTACTATAGTTTATACAAGATTATACAATATATAATAACTATAATAGCCTTAATAATATATTTAAAAAATATATTTTATTTTTATAATATTATTATTTGCTAAATTACTTTAAAAAAAATAAACAAATCTATTTTTAAAATACTTTAACTGAATTACAATATACTACTTTTTTAATTTCTAAACCAGATTCTGTTAATTTTGACTACTTTTATAAAAACTTTTTTAAAACTTTTAATATTGAAGTTTATAAAAAGATTGTATTAATTCTTTATCTAATTTCTATTGGTAAGTAACCAAACAATTACTTTAATATTAACTTAGAAGCAATAATAAAATTCTGAAAATAACAATCTTATATATATAATATAGTGTTACAAAAACTATATACAGAGGATGGTAATTCTAATGTAGTAGTTGGGTGTCATCCTCTAAGTGGCAGATCTAAGGTTCAAATCTCAACTATAATGAAATTTGGAAATTAACCTGTGTTATGAAAACTGTCTCCTGTTAATTGGTCAGCTTCATGTAGCTGTAATTTAGATACACCAAGTCAGGTCCTACTTGTCATTGAGAGCTCAGAGCATCTATGCATAATGTAACATTACATAGTATATGTACATAAAAGAATGTTAATAACTGTTATTGCATAAGACTTTAGTGCAAACCTATGATAAGACCACCAGGTGCAAAAGACTAAAAAACTGAAAAGACAATTCTACTTGAAAATTCCTGAGTAAAAAGGTAGCACAAACTTTCAACAGTGCTGTCAAACCAAAGGAAGCCTATAAAACATCTTCATAGAAACAGGCAAATAAACTAAATGACAAGATATATAGAGAAGCATATAACCAACTAGGCTACTGGAATTGCTGAAGGAAAAAAATACTAAGGTATACTATATTGGGCCATCTGGATTGAAAATCTAAGAAGTTTGTCAGTTCTGAGTTGCAGTTAGTAGGTGATGATTGAGAAGATATTAGAAAATAAGTACTGGAGTTTGGGTAAACTTTACAAGAGTAGGAATAGTATAACATAGTGGTTTAAGGTTAGCCCTAACTGCAAATGTTAGTTAATTATAGCATGTTACATAAAACTAGGTTAGCTATATATAGGACACAGAAGGCTTTAGTAATGATGCTTCTAAAAATATACTGTATGAAATAAGATATAGGGTTCTAAGGATACAGTAAGTATCTAGATCTTTTTAACTGACTTATATAGCAGAGATGATCTAGTAATACAGTAAGAATTGCAGTACAGAGAGTTTAAATAGACAACACTCTTAGTTGGGTTGCAGGTATAGCAGCTAGTATAGAACTATCAGCAGACTACTTAATTAGACACCAAAAGTGTATATATAACTAGTTGTACTCTCTAATATAAAGAAACTCTTTTGAGGCCTTGGCTGTGAGTTCCTATATCCTAACTACTGAATAAAAGGCTCTAGCTTCAAAAAAAGCTAGTTTAATATATATAAAAAAAAAAATCTATATACAAATAAATAATTAAAAATAACATACCAAACTAATAAGTTTAGCAAAAAGTGTTTTAGAGGTTTTGTTACTAAAATGTTTAAAATACAAAGAAGCTAAAGAAGCACACATTTTCTAAACAGAAATAAAAATCTAAAAAACATAATAACAATTACTTTTATAAATAAGATTAATCTTAAAAAATCTAGTAGCAAACTAATAAGATACTATAACAACATACTATACTAAAAGACAAAAGAAAAACTAGCTCGAAAGAACTATATTTAAAAGTAATAAACAAATTTTTATACAAGACAGAAAGACAAAAAAAAAGAATATAGAAATCAAAAAACCTTAAATAGTATAATAGATAAATAGCAAGTCTGTCACTTCTACTATTCAGACATCGTATAATGTTGCATTTTGGGTTATAAGGCTTCAAGGTGTGGACTTAGATTTGGGTGGGTATAACTTTTATTATTATAATAATTTTGATCCTTTTTCTCTCTTACTTGGAGTGCCCAAGATTAGTATCTCTTTATTAAACTTTTGTTTGCTTTTTATAACATTTTATATTTACTAACAAATCTATTTGTTTTTAGCTTCCCTTTCTATTTTCCTATTATTCCACTACTATATAATTATACCACTGCAGGTTTCACCTAAACCAGATAAGTATTTGATTCTGTTGGTTTTACTTTTAGTTTATTTTATAACTATACTAACTCACCTTTTTATCATCTGGATTTCACAACTCTAAAACATTATTGTTACAGTCATAACACCTTTCCTGATTTGGGCTTATTCATTTTGCTAGGCATTGGGGCACAATTATGCACATTTCACTATTATAGAGACAATCATGCATACTTGATCCAAGGTTCTGATCAGCACTTGTGCTATGTATCACAATGCACAAGCCATCATGAATTTTTCACCTATAACAATAGCAAACAAAAATTAAAACTAAGAGAAAAAAACAAAAATATAAAAAATAAGATTCAAAAAACTAATAACAAAAACAATAAAAATATAAAAAAAGTGTAAAAAAAATAAAATAACATTAAAACACTTTATAATACAGGTTGAATGAATAAATAAAAGATGAATAATAGATAAATAACAGAAAAAAAATCTGCTATTATTCTACTCTATATTCACCAAATGGCAGTATAACAGCAGTATAACAGCAGAATAACAGTAAAATAACAAGAGGTTTGTCAATATGAGTAACATAATAGTAACATAATAGCAAAATAATAGAACAGTTTTATTATTTTACTTTTAGTTACAAAGACTAAAAGTAAAATAATAAAACTGTTCTATTATTTTGCTATTATGTTACTATTATGTTATTTATATTGACAAATCTCTTGTTATTTTACTATTATTCTGCTGTTATGCTGCTATTATGCTGCCATTATTTGGCAGATATAGGGTAGAATAATGGCAGATTTTTTTCTGTTATTTATTTATTATTCACCTTTTATTTATTCGTTTGACCTGTGTAATGTTTAAAGAATTAATAAAGACCTGAAACAACAAGTATAGAAAAACTAATGCCTCTTTAACAACCTTAGGATTATTAGCATAACAGAAACCAAAATTGCAACCAATAACCTAATTACTAAATTACAAAAATCCAAATACTTTACATACATGTGGTCATGCATTAAAGGCCCTAAAGCAGGCACAGTTATTATTATTCACAAGTT